AGAAGTGGGCTATTACAGACCCATCAGTGACTCAGAGTGAAGGCCCAGCCTTCCAAGTGAGGAGACTAAGACCATTAGGCAGAGAAGATTAGACGAATTGCAACCCACTCCTGAGCTTTGGTTGCATTTCTTCTTTGACTCCATCAGATAATCTTGCATTATTATACCAAATCCCATTTAAAGTTACTTATTTATATGTAAAACATCCTACATAAGACTTTAAGATTTCCCACTTTAATTTAAAAAATTGTACTTGATATATATATATATATATATATATATATATATGACCAAATATACTTTGAAAATTATAAACAGAGTTCAAGATATAGCTCAGTGGTGAAATGTTTGCCCAACATGTGTAAGATCTTGTGTTCTATCTAAAGTCCTTCATATAATTTGGAATCATAGTACTAAAAATGGACTTGGGAGGACTGGTGGTAGAAAAACCTTGAAGACTCTGTGCATTGTTACTATTGAAGCAGTAGAGAATTTTTCCTTTAAAATGTAGTAGAAGCACAAAGAGAGAATAATAAGTCGCTCAATGCTGTAGACAATAGCTAACAATAAAGGAAAGGCCAAGTAGTTAAAATAGGATATATGAGAAGATGGAGTCATTCCTCAGTGCTTTCTGAAGGTCACCCTCCTGTCAAGCCCATGGCCAAATCCTGTGTATCTTTCCAATTAGTGATCTTTCAAGTCTGTCTCCATCTTCCCCAATACACATAGTCATTCATTCTTGTGAGACCTCTGGCAACAACCTTCTGGAAGTAGACTAATAGAACCTGCTCTTGCCACCAATAATTGTCCACTGAAGTGGCTTTGTGACTAATTCTGTCATCCCTTCCAGGTAAAATCCTTAACGGCTTCCTTCACTTTTCCCTCTAGAGCCTGTCAAGTGCAGCTCTGTCACCTGTTCATGTTGCCCTCACTTTCTCTGTCTGACCTGGGCTGCGTTTGGGGTCCTTGCCTTGCCAAGCTCCCTCTGCACTGCGGCCTTTCCACAGGTGGTTTCCTTTCCTGTGAAGTTCCCCTTTGTCTCTGATTTCCAGCTTTTGGTGGGCCCTGCCCAGATGGATCTCTCTGAGTATAGTCCTGCACACACTTCCCTTCTACTGCTTGTCATTGTAACAGCACCTTAGTGACTTTCCCATTGCTGGGACATAGAGCTTAACACTCACAGTGTCAGAGAGGAGAGGTTTATTTTGGTTTGTGGTTTTAGCGCATGAGCAGTTGGCTGTCAGGCACAAGCAGCATAGCCAAGTGGCATGTCATGCAAAGCTGCTTGAGTCATGGCAGGCAAGAAGCAGAAAGAGAAGGGCAGAGACAGACAGGCAGGCAGGAACAAGAGTATACCCTTCCAGGTCATGTCCCCAATGACCTGTCCCTCCCAGCCAGGCCCTACCTTTATGTTTAAGACTTTGGGGGCATGGCATTTTAGATCTAAACTATACCAAGTGATTTTTTCCATCCCACCTCCACTCCCCTGGCCCTTATTTGCCTGTTTGCCTATTCTACTAGACTCTAAACTGCACAAGGGCAGGAAATTCTGCTTTATTGTTTTGGTCAGAACACATAGTGGTATGACTAAATACTAACAGAGGATTAACAAATATAAATAAGTATTTTCTAAATGAATATAGAGAGGTAAAAGAAATAAAAAGTTAGCCAAGAATCCCTAAACAGCAGTGTCAACTTATTCTTTTCCAAGATTGGTGTATAATTCAGTTGTTTATAGTTCATAGTTTCTGCTAGATCCCATACTACCCATGAACAATGTTATTAATAACCCTAAAGTCACTTTTCTGAAAAGAAATACAAGTTTATCAGTGAATGAAATATAATTAACAGTGATGTTATCTTATGCCATCCCAAAGAACCCAGTTAGACCTATTGTGCCCCTGAAATGCTTGTGATCTCTGAGGTCTGCTAAGCCCCTTGAGCCTTGAGAGCACACAGGGCTTATTGAAAGGAAGAGGCTTTTCACTGATAGCAACTCCCAAAGCACTATGGAAGCAAGATGCACTCAGAAGCACCTCGAAAGTCTGCAGTTCTGGTAGTTAGCATGTTCCAGAGGAGGAGAGTTGAGGGAAGTTTGGGGACCATTCTAAGAACAGGTTGACCATAAGCCAGGTGATTCTGCTGGACAGGATAGGTCCCCCTTCCTTTCCAATGTGTCCCTTTGAAAGTATATGTGTTTAAATAGAAGGGACAGCCTACCCCGTTGGAGGACGGCCTTTCTGTCACCCAGGCTATAGAAGTGGTCACACTTTGAGCAAGTGTTTCTTTGTAAATACTTCCTGACCAGAGAGAGAACATGAAAGGAGATTCCAAAAGTACAAAATGGGTTCAGAAGCCACACAAGAGCAGGGGAGCAGCGGCAATTTGTGGAGGTGATGGCAGACATTCATCACTGGAGAGAGGGTGGATGTCCTCATGAAATGAATCAAAAGGAAGAAAATAAAGGAGGAGACACTGGCTGCCTTCCTGAGAGTGAAGGACAGAGGCAGTCTGCTTTCAGAATAAGATATTATGGCAAATATTCACACGTTGTAGCTCTGTAGAAGGGCCAGTTATATGAAGTAAAGCTTTCTAGAGAATATCAGCTTTATTCTAGAAAGAAGAATTAGGTCATAATGTTTAGACAAATCTAAAATCCAGAAAATATCAAGTTAAATAAGCAATTACATTAATATGAGTTATTTTCATGAAATGGGCTAGTGTACAGTACTTTGGAAAAATTTTATGATTGAAATTCCAGCAAAGAAGATTGCCTAAAATTAAGCTCAGCATTCTTTTTAAATAGTTTTATAAATACTATCCATGCAAAAAAAAAAAAAAGGAATTCTGATGAGAACACATTTGTCAAGAATTCATCTCCACCTTCCCTTTCACCCAGGAGGTGGCCTCTTATTTGCAGCTGTTGGATGTAACCAGTGAACCGAATACTTGAAACCAATTTGCTGGTTTGGGAAGAGGTTATTGATTCTCACAGCATGTCTATACTTGGAAAATTTCCTTGTTTAACTCTACATGTGAATGATTTTTGCCTTGCACTACTTTAAGTCAGGCAGGCTGGGGAGAGGAGATGGGATCCTCTTGCTTTGTTGAAGTCTTCACATGAGTTAGAAAATGCTTAACTGGTCTCAGTGCTGCCTTGAGTTAAACATACGTGCATATGCTTCTCTTTTTTCAGTAAGCTTGTGCTTTATTCTGAAGGCCAATGTTGGGAAGAAATTTCCGTGCATTTTATACAGAACGAAAAAGACAGGGGTGGTAATTGAGAAAAAATCAATTTAAATAAATATATTCCTGCATATTGTTTCAAATTATCACTGTTCAAGCTGTTAGTGGTTTACCATTTTCTGAATTCCAGGCCTAGTCAATATATCCTCTGTTAGCATTATGGTTTTTTGGCCTAAATTTTTATTTTTATTTTTTTATTAATTTTATTGGGAAACAAATAGCAATGAGACAATTTCAAAACCAATTAGTAGGACAGTTTCAAAAATACATTGCATATTGTTGTCTTTGTAGTGGTTATTCATAGAACAAGATACAAACATGATAGCTTATCCAAACACTGTTAGTACAAATCTTTCTTCTTATTGAATTAAGAGAAAGTAGCTGTATATCTATCCTATTTTGTATATATAGATACAAAATAGTCCTTCATTTATATTCCCTTTTTTGTTTAGTTTTATCAGAGATGGGTATTCCATTGCCATTTAAATCTTGTAGGTGTATGAATTCAGCAAAATAATCCAATATAGTCCATTGCTCCACAATAGTAGTGGGATATCCATAGGACTGGCAATGTTAGAAGTTGTTGACTTGAGCCTTTTACAGCTCAGCATATTAACATGGCTTTACTTTTTATACCTAATTTTTATACTTTTCTGCTGGCTGGTTAAGACCAAGATAACAAGACCTATATAACAAGAAATGTAACTTTTGTATCTCCCGCGGTCAGTCAAATCCCCTCAGAATTTAGCCTGAAACCCCGTACCACAGTTTGTAGATCCTTTGTCAGTGTTAGCCATGTGGATGAATCACAGTCATTGCTTGACCAATTTGCTCTCTGTTAAAGCCTGAGAGAATATTTCTCTTCAGGTAACTCTCCTTAGGCACACTGTATATCATCAGTCACTTTCCTCTGTGGCCACACAATCTCCTTGATCAGAAAATTTGGGACACAACTGAGTTACAGGATGTTACAGTACAGGTATTTTTATGTCCTGAGTCCTCACTGACCTTGAAAGGCTAGAAAATTTGTACCTTGGAGTAGAAGGAACTTCCTTTTCACACATAGATGTACACACATACATACACACACACACTCCCTGAATGATCTTGTGCATTTTTTTGTTACTGTATTTCATCTTTTACTTAAAAAAAGTTTAGCTAAATAATTAATATTCACTGGATGGGTAAAAATGAATAAGACCAGTACTTCTGAGGTCCCAGTATTTTCTGGATGTTGTACAATATGTAAAATGGTAAAAGTATGTCCATTGCTAATGTTTTCCTTCAGATCTTGGGAATGTGGGTCCTGCCCCCCTCTAATTACCCACCTCTCCACTTTTTCCATAGAAATATTACTATCCTCCTGCCATTTTTAATCAATGTTGGCAGTGTTGTTATCAGTTGGAAATGATTTGTTCCCGATCACCATTTGTAAGATAATCATTATAAGCAAGTTTGCTGAGAAGTCCATAATTTATAAGGGTGAGTTTTAATTTGTAACAAGGGAAGTTTCTTTCTGATTCATGGAGACTTCTTTAACCCTTACCTATATGGGCGTATGGTGGGATAGGTCTTATATGTAGTTACTGAAGGTCTTTTAATAAAGAGAGTTATAGTTTAGAAAGAAACTCCTTCACATTTCATTGGAGGAGAAAATCAGTGTAGAAAACAATCAGGGTAGTATTTTTTTTTTTTTTCAAACATCTACATCATGGATTTTGACTGTATTTTAAACCACACTGTTTCTCTTTCAGGTCTCATGGTTATAGAAAAGACCACTGCGTGAACCTGAAAGGGTAAGAGAAACCAAAGAAATGACTACAGCGTCTAACTAAAGGCATGACCCAGGAAATGAGAAGGACATTCCACTTGATGGAGGGGGCAGCATACATACAACTGGGTCTTGATCAGGCAACTGTTTAATTTCCTGCTGTGATTATGAGCATCTGAAGCTTGTCAAACACATAGTCCCAACTTTTAGAGCTCATGCAATGGGTGTTCAATGACTGTGCTGTAAACACACCAGCTGTGTAACGCATGGAAGTTGTTTTATGCTCAAAGCTTTACACACTTTGGTGATTAGTAGCTTGGGCTTCCTCCTGCTGAATTTCTTGAGGAGCCCTCCTGAAAGCCACCAGTAACAGGCAGTAAGACTCATCCTCCTCATACATTAGGGTTAGTTAAAGGTTTTACCTACAACCCAGTCTAGAACAGGCACCTAAAACTCTAAGACCCAGGGGCAAGCAGAAGCCATTTCTACAAAGGAGGATACTGAGTAAATTTTCCCTCCTTGCTCAAGAGATGGCCCGAATTTAAAGGACTTGGGAGAACACTGTTGCAGAATAATATTTTAAGTATATTAATTAGTTTTTTCCCCCTTTGGGAGCTAGCGCCTGTTTCCTTTGCTTCTCTACCTAACCCCATTCAGGTTTCATTTTGAATGTAGCAGCAAAAAAAGAGTTAAAACAGAGATCAGGAGGTAAAGGCTTTTGGTTTTCACAGACCCTGAGAGTTTGATTAGGACACTTAACTTTAGGAGTTGGGGCTGGGAGGAGCAGGCTGGATCAAGGGGAGAAAGGAGAGCTGGTAGATGCTATGGGGGGTGAGGATGAGGGGACGGGGGCAGAGGGACTGAGGGAGAGCAGAGAGCACTCTTAGGCAGCAGTGACCCTTCTTTGCTCAGACAAACAGATTCTCTAGGGAGGAGAGGAGTGGTTGCAGAAGTGGAAGTGCCCAGAGAGGCTGCAGAGCCTCAAAAGTGGCCAAGAGGGCACAGAGTGCAGGCAGATCATCCGGAGCAGCTTCAAGGGGCTGAGGAGACAAGGGCTCAGCATGCAAATGTTAGGATGAGTCTTCTGAGCTCCAAATTGCCACCTGAACATACCAAAGGGATCAGCACTGTGCTGGTGACCCTGTGACCTAAAAGCAACATAATGAGGTCTCCTGTGCCAGCAGCAGAAAGGGTGCCACCCTCGTAAGAGCGTTGGGCTAAGGAGCAAAGATCTGCCCCTGGCAACCCGGTGAAACAGGTAAGGATGCAGAATTGAGTGAAAGTCTGGTTATAATAGTGAAGGTAGATAAACCCTCATGGAAAACTGAAGTTATGTTTCCTACAATTTGCTGTAGAAGCTGAGATGTGAACTCAAAAATTAAATCATCCAATCAGTTGATAAAATTAGAAAGAATATTAGATCTATGTGACAAAACTATTCAGCTTCTCTTTATTAGAATTTAGGAGCTTTTTATGGATCCCAACCCAGATCTGGACAGTGGCACTGTACTAGATGGTGCACTCCAGGTTCCTGGGTATAGCTCCTGCAATTCTGCATTCTAAGTAGAGGTGATGTGCTGCCTTTGTGCTGGCTTTGTAGTTGGCTCTACCATCATAGCTTTCATTGCTTTATTTGATCCTTGAAACAATATCTTAGTTAGATACAGTTCACATTTTACTACTAATTTAAGATCAGCAGAAGGAACTGTGAGAGTCCTAAGAATTCCGCCCCTTGTCCTTTGTGACTGCTGGTCTCCAGTTTTGGGGTGCAGTGCCATACTCTTCCTGCCTTTCTGGCCCTAAAGCATTTTCCTTTTTCTGATGCCGTCCTTGCACTTCCCAACCTCTACACCTTTGCCTAAATTGCTCCTCCCTTTAAGCTGCTTCCTTCCCAGTCTTTTTAACATTGTCCCCATTTTCTAAAGCACAATGCAAATCTGACCTTCTCCCAGACACTTCCCAGCTCTCTTGTCATTTTACTCACCTTCCTGTTGCTTGAGACCTTCCCACTTCATCTGAACTCTAGCAAAATCAGCTTCGTATCTCAGGTGTTCAGTTCAGTTGGTGTCAGCTGCTGGGCTGGGACCCCCAGAAGCGTTCCACCTTCTGCATCCGTGGCCCCTGCCATGACCTTCTCAGCCCAGACTGTCACTTATTCGGTACCTGGAACGTAAGATGGCCTTAATCCTTATGTGTCCAGTGAAGTTGAACGTAAAAACTCTAAAGCATGCAATTAGTGAAGCATGAGACAGATGCTTGAACAGATGTTTAGCTGAATATCTTTGATTCCTACACTGTATTTTCCTGTTTCTCCAACTTATTTCCAATTTTTTTTCAAACATACAAAACAATTTAAGTAATTATTCAGTAAAAAACCTGGCTAATGACTACTCAGTGAGATTCTATAACATATACGCTGTTATATTTGAGTTATCTAGTCATCTATTTATTCCTCTAGGCCACCTTACAGACTTCTCAATGCAGTCTGTCTTGGGAAGATCTTTGAAGTCAGATCTGGGATTAATTCTGCCATGAGCGCCTACTTATTGAGTGGGTTGGCAGTGGTGCTTAACCTGCATCTTTTCTCCCTGTGTGAAATGAAGGTGGCTAACAATCCCCACTGTCTAGAGCATGGCAAAGATGAAATGAGACTAGGATTGCTGAGGGCCTGACACATGATGTGTGTGGTACCGGGCAGCGGGAGGAAAAGGGCAGCATAGTACTGCAGCTGCCAGCACTGCTTTGCAATGGTGTGAGCTTTGGTGTTCTTGTTCTCAGTCTCTGTTCTAGGCCCACGAGCAAAAGACGCTAGAAGATATCCTGTCTTATAAGTTAGAGGTGTCTGGGCCCATGAGGGAGCAGGGGAGATGGGAGCTCTGTTTGGATGCTGCCTTCAGAATTTCCTGGCACAATTAAAAAGCTACCCATTCAACCCAGCTGTTCTCCTGGGTACTTTCCCAGAAGAACTGAAATCATCATACCACAACGATATATGCGCACCCATGTTTATAGCAGCCTAATTTGTCACAGCTAAATCTTGGAAGCAGCCCAAATGCCCATCAAATGAGGAATGGATAAAAAGGATGCAGTACTTTTACCCAATGGAGTGTTACTCAGCTATAAAAAAGATAAACTCAAGGCTTTTATAAGTAGATGGATGCAACTAGAGACCACACTTGTAAGCGAAATAAATCAGACCTGCACGTGCAAACATCATTCTGTCTCACTAGTGTAAGAACCTAAAAGCGTAAATGAAATCTGAAAGGTACAATAGATACTGTGAGAGGGAGAGCATCTGTTCAATAGGAACGAACAACTGGGCTGAGGGAAAGGACAAAAGAAAGAAGGAAGCTGTACGCGGTAGCTTGGATAATTGTATTTCTGGTTTCTGCAGGTCCACTGAGAGGAGCAGGTAACGCTTCATTTTGTTCTTTTTCTCTCCTTTTTAACTTTTTATAACATTTTTGGACCAATTTTACATGCTTATTTCTGGTAATCTGAACAACTAATTTGAAGATAATAATATGTAATATAACAATGATTGTTGAATTCCTATTATTTTGTTTAGTGAAATTCTGTGTTGTTTCTAATTTGTTTTTACTATTATTCTCTTTAAATTTTTAAAATATTTTTATTGAGAAACAAATAGCAATGAGACAGTTTCAGAACCGATTAGTAGGACAGTTTCGATAATTAATACATTACGTATTGTTCTCTTCTTAGTGGTTACTCATAATTTTTTTAATTTTTTAAAAAATGATCTTAAAAGCCATACAGATCATTGTAGAATCACCAGTCATCTACTTTTACCTAGATAAGATGGAAAATCTTATGCTTATGCAAAATTCAGAAGAAACTTTGCTGAAAATGGAAATGACTAAAGGAGGATGTTGGTACTCTTTTCCGCCTTAACCACCAGCTTTAGAACTGTTTATGCAAAGGCTTACATATTTTCTGAACATGAGCCCTTATTAGTAGGGGATGGGAGCAGCTCTCTATGTAAAGGCTATAGAATGTCCCCTTCATGGAATATTAACACGAGCCCTCTTCGTCATGCCTCAGATTACCTTGCTCCTGAAATGGCACACTAAAGTGATTGCTGGCGAGTGCAGGAAGAGGTCACCTTCTCTATACTAGGAGCCCTTTGGGACTCGAGAAATTTCAGCCCTGTTTTCTACCTGTATCTCTCTGCGCCCACTCACGCTACTCCACGAATCACACTGAGTACAGGATGTAATGAATATAGTGCTTTGAATAAAATTGTGATTTGTATCTATAAATACTGTTATGAGGCACACTTAGAACTGGGCTTCTTAATTTCAAAGTATCTGCCAGTAGAGTTGTCTTTAGATGATCTGGAAAGTGTCTTATGTCCTTTTCTTTCTGGTACTTTGAAGTTTAGATGTTGTCTCTCATTAATCTGGAACTCTTTGAAAAATATAACTGCCTGTGTCCTAGCCTTTCCTTTTAACCTGACAGTCAATGTCTTGGGTCTTGGGATAGCCCACTGGAATCTATATTTAAAAATTTGTAAAATAACCTTACTCCTCAGACAGAGCTAAGAATCGCCTCTTGGCTATAAAGCTGTATGGCTCTTCCTAAGGAGCAGGTGTTCTTTCAAGATACAAAATCTTGACTGTACTTTTCAGTTTTATTTTGTTTTCTCTCAGTTGATGGCTATAAAATGGAAACTGGCTGAAATGCAAAGATTAGGAATCTTTCCAAAATATAGTAGGTGAATAAAAACAAGGACAACCCAGTGGTGGCTTGGAGGAGACTCACTGAAGTAGAAGAACCAGTGAAGATTTCTACCTCCAGCTGGGAAAGCACTGCAGCCTAGGACCACAGGAAGATATAGGAAAGCATGTCCCTATTTATCAATTCTAATATATCTATACTTTACATTTTAATATCTCAGCATGTGTTGCCCTGGTGGCATTTGAAGATCATTCTTATTTTTTTCGTGCAATCCAAATCTTGTCAGTTATGGTTATTTTAATAGACAACCTTAACCCCTCAGAGTTT